CCGTTTTCAGGGATGTTTAAGTAAGAATATGAAGGGAGGAAAAATCCAAACGATGCGGTGGAACCCTCGTTTTGTAGGCGGCCAACTGGTGGGGGCTGATGTTCAACTGAATATTAAAACCATTCTACCTTCCTATTTCTATTTACTTTGAAAGAGTGCTACATTGAGATTTTCCCCTTTTATTTTCGCGTTTGATTTATTTTTGTTTATCCTTTCCTGAAAGAAATTACACTTTATTAAATGGTGATCGAAAATATCGACGGACTTTTTGAATGAAATATCCGAAAAATGTTTTCACGTAAAAAAATATTTAGCTGGTGCAAAAATAACTATTTTTTGTTTTTATAAAATAAAGAACGTTTATTCGAAATATTTTCCATCACAATCTGTACATTTTTACTAAATTTATTTCGACTCACAATAAATTTTTGGAATGCGTTTTCGGCTTCACCGCCTTCTCAAATAAATGTATCCCTCAAAAAGTGATCAAAACGCCTAATGCTGAGAACACACTTACCCGATAATTAATTTTTAATCACAGTTAATTTGGTTTATATTAAAATAAGTATGTTGTAATTAATACAACGACAATAATACATGTAGTTTGAATAAAAATATGATTTTCCTGTTCTTTTGTCTTCGACTGTACTCGATGCGACCCGACGAAAATCTGGACAGTGGGGATCGCAGAGCGTCGGGTAGATGTGCACAGGGGTAACCTTACGGAAAATCGAAGTTTCGATTTGCGTCGGGTAGCGTCGCACGGCGTAGCATCGGGTAAGTGTGTTCCTGGCTCTACGCGATCCCCACTGTCCAGAGTTTCGTCGGGTCGCATCGAGTACAGTCAGAGACAAAAGAACCGGACACTCATATTTTTATTCAAACTACATGTATTATTGTCGTTATATTAATTACAACATACTTATTTTAATGTAAACCATTAACCGAGATCAAAAAATCATTAGTTTTTTTTTTTAAATAATTTTAATGGTGTAGTAGAAAATTGATCAAAGCACCGAGTAGCATTTTTTGATATTATGAGTTTAACTAAAAATTTATTACACGGTTTTGCTCATAAAATTCAGAACAGGACACTCATATATTTTGTAGCTTACTTCTAGCAAAGTATATGTAATTTTGTCGTTATATTAATTACAACATTCCTATTTTAATGTAAGCCAAATGAGATCAAAAATTCATAAGTTTTTATAAAAATTATTTAATTGTGATGGTTAGGCAGAAAATTTATTGAAACACCGGAATAACTTTATTTAAAACAATTAAGTTTAGCAAACAATTTATTACATGGTTGTGCTCATAAAATTTAATTAACAATTTATTACAAGGTTTTGCTCAAAATTGCGCATTGAGAATAAAAGAGGCGTTGCGATTGTGATACTGATTTGTGATACACGATATTTGACTGTACGTGGCCTGAGCTTGACGCCGCACAGACATGCACACCCTACCAAAAGGCGTCGGGTAGCTCGCATAGCGTTGCATCGGGTAAGTGTGTTCCCGGCTTAAAAAGTGGAGGTCTGTAAGCGAGAGGTCGGGTGAATATGGAGGTTTCAATCCTAAGTGCTTAAGTTTCCGCAGGGTTGGCTTGCGTCTTGTAGCCTGGAGTTATCGAGAAGAAGAATCGGCCCATTACGGTTTACCAATGGACAAAGATGTTGCAGTTTCACGTGCATTTTGTCAATTTCTTGGCAATATTTCTCTCCTGTGATAATTTCGCGTTTTTTTATGTTTGTTTTATTTACTTTTTTATTTAGTTCACTATTTTCGTGGTCCACTTGACCAATCAATACATGACAATTAATTAAGGTTTTTAGTTGAGATGAAAAAAAATTTTATTCAGTTTCGCGCAAGTCGCCCAACTTTAAATTGTATAAATAAACTTGACGAAAACCTAGTTTGGACATATTTAATTTCGTAGGTTCTCTCTCTTATAAGATTCAATGGAAACTAATCTGTTTTGTATGTAAGATAACAGTTAAAGTATTCATTAAAATCCATAAATTAGCTTTGTTTACATGACAAGTTCCTACGAAAATAAAACAAATTTTCAAACGTGCATTAATTTTGCACCAACCCAATACAACTTTAAAAGACCAATAAGCCTTTATAACAAGATACGTCTCGATACAAGGCTAAAGTGTAAACATTCATTTTTAAAGTTTCACCGGCGTTGTAGCTGGTCTGGAGTAGCTAATGGCTCTATCTAATTACACGTATGTGGCTTGTTAATTAAGTGGATACTTACTTTGTACCAGTTTCTCAAGACCGAACACTGAGTCTGTTAAGACAATACAGGTTAAGTTTTAAAAACTTGCAAGTAGCGGGGGGTCCGACTTGTATTTTTTAGAATAGAAGGTTTTTATTTATGCTAGATAAGTTTATGTTAACTCATCATCAGATTACAGGTCATGGATACAATTTAAAATCTTCTTGAACAGTGTACTTCGGATTATTATAAATTGTTTTCTGATTAAATTTATAAATTGGTTGATAGAAAGTTCTTTTATTTTATTTGGTAGGTATATTATTTATATTCCTAAAGAGGATTATTGACTGTTTACTATTTTCACAAAACGGATTAAACAAGAATCATAATTTCACATTTTTATATTGCATGTTTCGAAGGTTTTTTCAAATTGTTTTTTTTTTTTTTTTAATTTTAAAACACATGTAGGGCCGAAATTGTCATTGCTTTCAATTTTATAAAAAGAGGATTGCACTGTGCTTGTCTTCTCGAATAGATAATCCTAATTTCACTTTTTTGTTTAAGGTTTTAAAATTTTTATAACATGTGTGTATATATTTTTTCCCGTCAAATTGACCCTTTTTAACTTCAAAATACCCTTTTTATATTAAATTAATTCTTTTTAACTTTAAATTAATGCTTTCTTTACAGCATTCAAAAACTTAAAGGGTGGTATGATGTATAAGCATGCAAAGTAGAATTCCTGTATAATTAAATAATAAAATTAAATATAAAAATAAAAGATTCTTCTTCTTTTCATTGGAGATTTTTTAAGTTTAAAATAGTTTTTATCATATTTTTCAAGATATAACATAAAAATTAGTTACAATTAAAATTACAAGTTATGTAAAATTGTATAAGTAGAAAAAATAATTCTTCCTTGATTAGAGAGATTTGAGTTTTTTTAAATTATAAAATAACATCATTGGTCTTGATCGGATCGAAGTCACAATAGCTCAAATGGTAGAGCAGCGGCGTATTTAGCCGAAGGTCGTGGGTTCGAATCCCACTGTTGACACTGACTTTTTTATCTCAACAAATACCTTATATAAAAATTAATTAATTGAAAAACATTATTCGGCCAATCGGACCACGAACTCTAATGAATTGTATTGTATGTTCGCGAAAATCCGAATTTCTCTCTCCGAAATATTGGACGGGTTTTAAATTTTTCAAAAAATAAAATTAGAGATGTACTCCTGACTTCCAATTTTAAGCAGGGCTGCTGGATACTTATACATTTTTCCAAAAACACCGACATTTACTGTATAGCTAGTAACTAGTAACTCAAGTGGTAGAGCAGCGGCGTATTTAGCCAAGGGTCGTGGGTTCGAATCCCGCTCGTGGCACTTGCTTTTTTATCTCTACCAATACCTTTCACAAAGATTAATTAATTGGAAAAAGTTAATTGGTCAATCGGACCACGAACTCTAATGGATTTAATAAAAACTAAAATTTAAAATTAAATACATAAACTTTAATTGCAAGTCAGATTTGAACCAACGCAGTTTGATTAGGGTATTTGGCATTTTTGCAATTCGTAATTATTCATTTCAATAAAAATTGAGAAAAACCCCTCAAAATTTCTTTGAAACAAGTTTTAAACTAAATACTTCATAAAGAAGATAAATAATACATGAGGAATGATAACCAACTTTAAGATATATTTTTGTTGGTCTCATCAATTATTCAATTTGATTTATTCCATAAAAAAAATTGAGAAACAAACTGAAAACTCTTTTGAAACATTCGATTAAGACTGTAATAAAATATTTCAATTGATATATGATGGACAAAAATAAAAATGCTCGCCTTTGAAATAAACATCAAATCAATTATTTTCTGACATTTTTTCATGTGTTATGATCACCTATTTCTTTTATTCCCAGAAATTGATCATGTACGGAACTCTTTCGTACAGAAGGGCTTAACGTTAAGACTTAACCTCGACCGTTAGGTGCCAAGGACGTGGGGTCAAAACTACTTTACAATACTTGTTTTTTTCATATTTTACTCAATTAAAATTCCATGGGCTATGCCGGGGATTCAAACCCACAACTACTAAAAACTGCCTCCCACACAGTTTGGTTATAGACATGGTTTCCATTTTTTAAAGAAGTTATAAATTATGTATACGAAAATTTAGAAAAAAACAACACAGTTGGTCAATAAATTCGAGCAAATATCAATATTATGGCATCAAAGGGGTTGCACTTAACTTCTGTATACATTTAACTAAAATGAGAAAACAATCTGTGATAGTAAACAATAAACTTTCGAATCAAAACACCATTACATTAGGTGTTATTCTATTTTACGGCCAATTTTATTAATTATTTGTATAAACCAGATAAAATACAGTTCTACTTCAATAAGCTGGTGATATAAGCTAACGTTATTACAATTTATTACATATTTGATTCCAAATTGAATTGGTTTATCCACATTTACTATATTTGCAAAAAGATTCTTTAATTATTTCAATTAATTAATCTTTATGTAAGATATTGGTTGAGATGAAAAAAATTCGTGTGACGAGCGGGATTCGAACCCACGACCTTCGATCCGCTCAGGTGGTAGAGCAGCGGCGTATTTAGCCGAAGGTCGTGGGTTCGAATCCCGCTCGTGACACTGACTTTTTTTATTTCTACCAATACCTCCATAAAGATTTACTTTTTATGTTTTTCTTTTCTGGTTTTAATATGAAGTTCTGATGATTTTTTTTTTTTTACAGGAAATATCCGCACAACAAGTGTTTTTGATACTGAGACAAAGACACATTACTGGCTTACAGTTGTCGCCCAAGATTACGGCGTGGTTCCTCTTTATTCAACACTGGAGGTAACAAACTTTTGACCATATTATAATTAAGCTGAATGTACAGTTCAGTAATAATTGTTTAAATTTATCCTGTTAAGACCGAAAAACCAAGCAAAAGCAACCCAATTGTATTTGTGATTATTAAAATAATAAAAATAAATTTAAAAAATTAAAACTAAAGAGCTTTTGCTTAAGAACGGTTTAAGGTCAAGTAGACTAAAATATATACTTTTTTTATTCAACACTGGAGGTACAAACTTTTGATCATATACTGACAGGAAAAAAATTCCACCAAATTGATTTTTTTGCATTTTCTCGATAAAAGAAAACTGCCCTCAATTTGTCTCATTGTTTTTATCAATAAGTTTTTGTATGCTATGTTTTAAATTGGGAATATCAATAGAGGTAAACATACTTAATCCTTAATCCAAAACATGGATAAAGGATTTTTCAATGTATTCTTTTTATTTTTTATTTTTATTTTTACGGAATTTAAAATATTTATTCAGTCTCATTTGAATTATGAAACAATAAACTCTTTAGGTTTCATATTTGTTTTCTTAATTTCAAATGTGTGGTGATTAGTGACCGTTAATCGATAATTATTCAGAAATCGTGAGATGCGGTCCAGACCGCATCTCACGATTTCTTAATAATTAATTTCACATTTTAAACTTAAAAAGGCCACTTAGTGATGAGGTCTTTGAATGTGGTCTGGCACTTATTGATGATGGACGTTTCCTGGATGGATTCTACCATAGAAGGGTAGGGTAACAGAACCACAGGATGACCGTATTTTGACTTTGAGAATTTTGCGAAACCGGCACCTTGGCACCTTACTGTTGTTGATGCGATTCGTCAGCTCCAGGAATTTCGAGGAGTCCAAATTTCTGAACGCACTGCTCGAAGAAGATTAAATCAGTATGGTCTGATGGCTTTTCGCCCCGTAAGAGGACCGGAATTGACCAGAACACCCGGAGTTGCACGGCTCGCATTTGCTCGAGAACACAGTCATTGATCTTTGGTCTGCTGTACTTTTTAAAGATGAATGTAGATTTGCTCTACAATCTCCAGATGGGCGTGAAAGAGTGTGGAGAAGGCAAAATGAAAGGTACGAAGCCTTTAATTTTTACCAGAGTCAACCTTTTCAGTGTAGCTCAGTGAGGTGTGAGTCGCACATAGTTGGTCGTTTTTCGTAGAGGGTCTTTTACGGCCACTCGGTATGTGGATGAAATTTTGGAACATCGTGCGTTGCCTATCCTCGATGAAATCAGCGACAATCCTATTCTAATGCACGGTAATGCCCGTCCACACGTCGCTCGCATAGTGCAAACGTACCTTCAAAAGCATAACATCTTGGTCATAGCCTAGCCAGTCCGTTCTCCAGACTTGAACCCCATCGAACATTTATGGGATAACCTCAAAGGACGAATAAGAGCACGTCCATCACTTTCTGCTACACTCCACGACCTTGAAAGGATTCTTCGTGAAGAATGGGCTAACCTCCAGCAAAGAGACATTTCCAGACGGGTAAAATGTATACCGAGGCGTCTTCGAGATGTAATTAAGGTAGGAGGAGGAAATACGTGATTTTGAAATGTTAATTAAAAATCTAAAACAAAAGTAAAACAAATTTTTCAGTCTGTTTTATTATTTTTTTTTTTCATTTTCCTTAGCAATTTACATTTTTTTACTATTTTGGACAAAGATTCAATTATTACACGTTAAAAAACGTGAAACTTTGATTAATACATAAAAATATATACAAATCACGTTATATTACAAGTGGGTGGAATTTTTGGCCTGTCAGTGTATTATAATTAAGCTGATTGCAAAATTCAGTAATAATTGTTTAAATTGATTCCGTTAAGAACCGAAATAATAAGCAAATGCAACTCAATCGTATTTTGGGTTATTAAAATAATTTAAAAAAATTAAAAATTAAAACTTCATTGTTGCTTGAACGTAACTTGAAAATTAAAACCTGAACAGTGCTTGTGCCCAAAACTGTTTAAGGTCAAGTAGACTAAAATATATACATATTTTCTTTTTTTAGCCAGAAATACAGTCGATACACATTTTTCATTAATTTTCATTAATAGGACATCTGTATGCACAATTATTATAGTGTCATCTACATATTTTTTTATAAGGAATCGTACCCTCGCTTTTGTGATGTTTAACATTTTTGTTTTTTCCAAAACAAATAAAAAGTACAACAAATAGGACATCTGTACAGTTCCAACATACACTAAATGAAAAAAAGAAACAAAACAGAGAATGAAAAAAAAAATACCGGAAAAAAGACGAAAACAACATTAAACAAAAAATAATATTTCGCTTTGAATTTTTCCCGAAAATCACAAAAATGGTGATAACATTGAAATGATTCTGCTGAACCAAGAGAAAATTTGCAACGGTTTAGAATCCAATAACCTATACATAAATGGCATAAACGTGGCCATTGAAAGTAAACCAGAATTTGAGCTATAAAATGTTTCAGAGGTTTTTGTCCATTTCATTCTTATTTTTCTCATTTATAATAAAATAAAACCCAAAATTTGTTGATATAGCCTGAAAGAAGAGAGGTTAAGTTTTACAACGGTTTTTTTTAACAGTGAATTTGGATAAAATTCGGAGGTGTTATGAATTTGTAAATATATCACCGAATATTGTTGAGAGAAAAAATTGCCTCCGGCAATCGAGCAGAAATGTCTAGTTTTTATTTGATTTTGATTTAAAAATTTGTATTAAAGGGCTTTAAAGGGTGCTTAAAACGAATTGAAATGTTCGTTAATGATTTTTTTTGTTTTTTGCCTACTTTACGGTTTACTGTAGTTAACTTTTAGATATCTAATCATCATCAAATCTCAATTAATACGATCCTATTAATTTCTTATCCTACAAATTAACTGATATATAACCTTGAAATGAGTACTTGCTCCAAAAAATATAATTATTATTTAAATTACCTAAAATATTTATTTACAAATCTCAGACTAACTGCCAAATGCTGTCAACAGCTAGGCCATTTCAGCCCCCAACGCATGCAGTCTTTAAATATTAACAGGCCCTTACTTAACTCATTCTAAAATGATTCGTATTACATGCCATTCGCTCAACACCAAGGGTACTGGTGTACTCAATATCCTTCCATGGCTCTTCGATTAACCCCCAATATTGATGTGGTACTCAATATTTTACCATTGGCCCTCTCCCACTATACATTATACACAAAATGATGAGACCAGAATCATCCATTCAGTCTTCAGTCTTATCCGTCCAGCCGCCGAGGTCGGGTCCCAGGGGCTATCAACCAACAGCTATGTCATTCCAGCTCTCATCACAGTCAGTTTCTTAATCCAAACCTACTTACTCTTAAATAAATTCTTTCTTATTCACATACCATTCACTCAGGGAATAATTGATCATTACCCTTTACGCCTATTATACTAATCTAATTGAGAGTTGATGGGGTATTCATATTCCGCCATCGACCCTCTTACACATTCATGCTAATAAATACATTCACTGTTAACGGACACCAGGGTACACAACAACATCAGTACTACATACAATAAAACAACCCTGTTGTTTCTGTGTGTTTTATGTTGATGGGGTACTCAATATTCCGCCATCGACCCTCTTACACATTCATGCTAATAAATACATTCACTGTTAACGGACACCAGGGTACACAACAACATCAGTACTACATACAATAAAACAACCCTGTTGTTTCTGTGTGTTTTATGTTGATGGGGTACTCAATATTCCGCCATCGACCCTCTTACACATTCATGCTAATAAATACATTCACTCTTAACACACACCAGGGTACACAACAACATCAGCACTACATACAATAAAACAACCCTGCTGTTTCTGTGTGTTTTATGTTGATGGGGTATTCATATTCCGCCATCGACCCTCTTACACATTCATGCTAATAAATACATTCACTCTTAACACACACCAGGGTACACAACAACATCAGCACTACATACAATAAAACAACCCTGCTGTTTCTGTGTGTTTTATGAGTTGGACAATTCCTTGGAACCGTCATAACTCCGAAACCATGAGACGAATTTTTATGAAATCAAGTACATCTCTGAAATCATTTGTTGGATTCTTATGCAATTTTCAGGGATTATGCGAGCTGCCCTCTAGATGATCCCTTATTAATTTTATACTAATCGGATAAACATACGCACATGTGCATGAAAACATAAAATCTGTTTCACAGCTATATTGTTGAAACAGTTTGTCAGATTCTTAATAATTTCAGGTATTAGGTAGATTGCTTTTTAGATGATCCCCTATTAATTTTATACCAATCGGAAAAACATGCATGCTTATGCATTAACGTAAAATCGATTATACAGCTATATCTCTGAAATCATTTGTCGGATTCTAAAGAAATTTCACAGATTATGTGAGTCGCTTTCTAGATGTTCCCCTATGAATTTCATTGCAAACAGATTAACATATGTACATGCGTATGCACAAAATGTGAGAAATTTGTACTGTCCACTTACTTGGCAGACGATTTTTATTAGTTAGCGTTAGTCTTAATTTGCTTGAAAATATTTTGATATTGTTTTTAAATTTTCCTTGTTAGTCGCAGTAATTGACAATGTCATGATGTTAATGATCATCGAGTTTATTATCTTTCACTAGAATCATTTAGGATCAATTAAGGTTTAGGCTGTTCCATAAACAATGTGTCAAAATGATATTGTTTTCCACAAAGAGTGTTTACAGAGCTCTAAGGGATATTTCCGTTTAATTAATGAACTAAACGTTCTCTTAAAATTCATTAATTCACCTAGTCTAATACGTATGAAAGACAATAGAACATTTTCATGTAAACAGTGACTATGAAGACATTGATGACCCCTGAGTAATCAACAACAAATCAGAAGCTTTTTCCTCAAATGGCCAATTAAATTCAAACCTAACCCAGGCTAACAATTTGCTACCCCATTGCTTGAATTTCCATTTAATTTGTCAACGTTTTTAGTCAGTAATGGTTAGGGATGGTTAGGGGTAATTACAGTAATAGTCAATGCCATACTTTTTTGTAAGATATCCCCTTTAAATTTTTAACCTCCATGCTTATCCAATAATTTTCATATGAATTCTATTGGACAAATTCATTGATTTATGTATGCAGAGGATGGAAGACACTTAAATGAATGATGACAGAATGTAATATAATTACAGTTTGGTCGTGGTCGTTATACAATCGGTGTGCAAACATCCAATTATTGATTTTTTCTTTCTTAAACATGAGATAAAATATACCTATATTTTATACTAGCTTTTAAATTATTAAATCTATCATTTCTATGAAGAAATAGAGTGTTTCTAACTATATCATAATACTTTTTTTGTTCTTGTTATAATTTTTGTAAATTTTAATCTCTACCGATTTCAGGTCTATGTGGAAATCAAAAATGTGAACGACAATGCTCCACTGACTAAGGAACCGGTTTACTATCCTCATATTATGGAAAACTCACCACCTGGAACACCTGTAATCCAAATAACAGCTACAGATCCCGATTCCCCTACAATTTTGTACAGGATAACGTCTGGAAATCCAGAGAGTTTCTTTTCCATCGACACTCGCACTGGTAATATGAATAGCTTTTTGGTGTCTAATATGATTGACAGAAACGTAAAAATTTTTCATTTAGGAATTGTGGTTGTGAATAATATTTGGTAAAAACTGTTTATTTAAAGTTTCATTTATCTTTCATAATCTTCATTAAACTTTGTTAATAAATCGCTTGCTTAACAAAATAGCTTTTCATAAATAAATGCAACATAAACTTTGAAACATTTTTTCCCATAAAAAGCTTTTATTTCTTACAAGTTACATTAACATTTGAAGAAAACTGTTTTGTCTTATTTACTTTTATTTTTGTTATAATAAGATATAATAATACTGCTTTATTTTAGGTGTCATCTCTACAACTGGAAGAAAATTAGATCGAGAATATCAAGCAGAACATGTTTTGGAGGTAATAATTTTGCATGTTAACAATTAATCACACATTTTGTTTAGAAGAAAATACCAAAACATTTTTCTTATCAATTTTATGTATATAATGTAATTAAATAATTTTTTTTCTTCTGGGAATTAGTACAGTAATAAAATTGTCCTATGACTAATATGTTAACTTTTATGAATAACTACTTCAATTGAAAAGTAATGACCAGATTTAATTAAAATTTTAACATGGATATTTTTTTAGCTGTATACACTTTTTTGGGTTGGGTTAGGATAAGGTTAAGGACAGGTTAATGTAAAAGAGTTCATCAAATGGCCAACACAAAAACTGTACACAAAACTACTAAAACTAGAATAGTAGGACTGCTAACTTGACACTGGAGTCTACAGAGGCATATGTATAGATTCAATAAGCAGATAGTGCCAGGAACAGTGGAATATGTCCTCCGGTGGTGTGAAGACCTAAGTAGGCTGAGATTCCTACTCCTGGGGGAAGAAAAGCCTTAAGTTTAACTAAGAGCTCTAGATAATAATGGAGATTGCACAATAGACCAAGTGCGAAGTTCATCAAGGGCAATTCCTTTTAACCTTTAGGGATTCAGTTTCATAGTAGAGTTGGTGTTAGAGAGGAGTTAGTTTAGGCTAGGCTAGGTTGGCTAAGTATTAGGGATGTGATAATGCAAAAAATTTCATCAGAGGACCATCGCAGAAATTAATGGCAGAAGTGCAAAAAGCTATGAAATGTTAGGATTAGCATGATAGTATGACTGCTGACATTGCAGGCTACAGAAGCACATGTATTCATTTGAAGCAGATGATATTAGGGCAAGACTGTTGTTTGACAACAAATTTTTGGATTTCCATCATTACCTCTGGGATCTTAACATCCCTGTGTAAATCATTAATACTTCAGCACAAACAAATCTGTACAGTTATGGCTAGAAAAAGAAGAAATGGTGGAAAATGTTCTCTGTTGGTGAAAAGATGTAGGAGGCTAAAATTCCTACTCCTGGAAGTTAAAAAGTCTAGGCCTGAAGGATAAACATGGAAATCCTAGACAAACCTTTGGTCTTAACGAAGATTAACGAAAAGCTCTTGACAATGAGGTCAACTCCTAACATTTAACGTTTAAGGGCGGGTTAAGTAAGGTTAGGCTAGGTAGGGTTGAGGTTAGGTAGAGTTTGGGTTAAATTACATATCCATGACTTTCTTTTTATTGATTTTCTGTTTATATTTATTTACTTAATTTTATATTTTACTTTATTTTCCTCAAATGGATATCTATATTTTCTGTGATATTACTTTCAGATTACATTAACTGATGATGGAACACCTCCACTGCATAGTTCAACACGAGTGGTAATTACCATAGACGATGAAAATGACAACAGTCCACATTTCCAATATAAATTTTATAACATTCACATTCCTGAAACAAGGCATCATGAAGCACCTCTTATTCAGGTGAGCTTTTATCATTTTTTCTACGATTTTCCGATTTTTTTTTTTTTTTTAATCGTGTGTATGGTTTTTCAATAAATTATATTTGTTTTTATCAAAAACTAATGGAATAAATTGTATTATTTTAGTCCAGTTCAAGTGAAATGGATGTTGGCTTAGAGACACTTATCATTAACGGAACATGGGAAAGTTTTCCAGAACATGAAACGGGAGATCATCTATTTAGGGTACATGTTTATTTTATCTATTTGTACAGATTAATACTTAAATTTCATTAAGTTTGATTGGCTTAATATAATGTACTTTATAATTTTCCACAAATTTAGAATTGCTTATTACATATTAACCTATATCATAATATTTTCAGATCATAGCTATCGACAATGATTTAGGAAATAATTCTTCCATATTCTACGAAGTTATGTCTGGCAGAGGGAAAAACAAATTTAAAATCCACCCCACGGCTGGAGCAATTTATTCCCTAAGTTCATTTCAGCATGGAGAAGAATATGATTTATTAGTATGTATTGTATCTGTTATCTAATCAATGAGTATTTTATTAATGTTATACAAAAAAATTATTTTATAAAGGTACGAGCTACAGATCAAGGAAAGCCTAATAAATCTGCCATAGCAAAAATCTCGGTTCGAGTCCTTCCATTACCTGACGATTCCAAACATCCACCAGACTGTAAGACCAAAGACCAACATGTTTCAGTTCAAGAAAGCGATTCAGTTGGATTTTTAGTTATTTTAATACAGTGTGACGATTTAGACGGTGATGTCCTTTGGTACAATATTATAGGTAATAACATATTGTTGATATTCATTTGTCCATCAAATAATCTTATAGTTAATTTCCTTTCCTTAAAGACGGCGACCCTCGCTCAGAATTTATGATAGTCGGTGACGAAGGTAGCATACTCTTAGCGAAACGACTAGACTGGGAAGTTCAGTCTAAGTACAATTTAACCATCAAAGTTACTGATGGAATATACAATGCATACACTCAGGTAAAATTTAAATTTTTTTTAATATATTTCGCATTATGGTATTACTTGTATATATGACTTCTCTCCTTTGAGTAATTGTATCGATTCAGGTAATTTTTACATAATAGCTAACATTTACATTTTACATAGAAATTGTGTAAATGGAATATTAATCAATATTATTTACTATTAAATTCACTAATTTAGTGGTCTGCTTGACCAATTAATATATTATAATTAATCATGATAGCTCAAGTGGTAGAGCAGCGGCGTATCAAGCCGAAGATCGTGGGTTCGAATCCCGCTCGTGTCATTGACTTTTTTATCTCAACTACATAACCTTAATTAATTATAATATATTAATTGGTCAAGCGGACCAAAAAATTATTGAATTTAATGATTTAAAATGAAGTATACTTCACTAAAGCTCTCCGTGGTCATTTCATTTGTCGTCGAGAATCCAATCCGATTACACGACATTTGAAAAATGGCAAAAAGGAGGGAAAATTCAAAAGGTGCGNCTCAATAAAGATCGAAACATTGGCACGATAAAGAAAATGTTTTTCTGAAACCTACATCACACCAGACCGCATCTCACGATTTCTGAATAATCATCGACAAACAGTCACTAATCACCACACATTACAAATTATTGCCATAACAAACATGTGAAAATACATCTTCTTACATTCATTCACAACATATTCTTGACAGTAGTGTTAATTCAATTATGTATCTTTTCTGTTGTAGGTTTTTGTATCTGTTGTTGATATTAACGAATACCGTCCCATATTTTCTAAACCTATTTATACTGCCAACATATCCGAAAGTTCTGTGCCTGGAACAGAGGTTGTAAAACTAACAGCTACTGATGCTGATCGGGATAGCAAAGTTGTTTACAGTTTGTACAATGCTCAAAGCCCTTCATCGCTTCATTTGTTTAAAGTAGATTATCAGACCGGTTCTCTTTCCGTTGCAAAACCACTGGATAGGTAAACTAGATTAATTAATGAATAATTTTTCTTTAAATAATTATTTTGTCTTTTTATAGAGAAACGATAGCAGAACATATTATTACAGTCATGGTAAAAGATCAAGCAACTCCAGCAAAAAGAAATTTTGCAAGAGTAATCATTAAAGTTAATGATGCAAACGATCACGCTCCTGAATTCAGCGTGTCTATTATGCAAGGACGAGTTTTCGAAACATCGCCGATTGGTACTACTGTTCTTTCTTTAAATGCAGTCGATAAAGATCATGGCATAAATGCCAAGGTTGTATATTCCTTACAATCTGGTAAGTTGTGATTTTTAATATATAGTTATATAAATTGTATTAACGTGTTGACATCTTTTAGGAAATGTGGGCAATGCATTCTTTTTGGATCCAGTAATTGGAAGTATCAATGTAGCAAGGGATTTGGATATTAGTATAATGAATGAGTACATGCTTATAATAAAAGCCTCGGATTCTGGAAATCCTCCATTAGCTAGTACTATACCAGTTCATATCATAGTTGTGATGGCAGACAATGCGCCACCAAGGTAATAATTTGCTTGGATTTGTAAAGGCCCTTTTACATGAGTAAGTTTTTTTTTTTTTTTTTCAACCTCATGTAAAAGGACTAAGTTGTTTCATCAAAAATATCAGCACGTTGGAAATGTTTGATCTAAGAGTTAACAGTGCTCCTCATGTAGATGAAATATAATAATATAACAATAAACATAAATAATGTTTAGCTTAAAAACTTAACTTATTTTGTGTAATGAAAAAAAAATGAATTTGTGAATTATGCTATGTAGTGTCTTTAGCACAAACATTGTCAACATTTATGATATCTGAATAAACCAATTGTTTTGTGCTGCCAATATTCGTATCCAGAAAGCAGTTAACCTTTGGGTACCTGCAACCCAAAATCCCATAATTAAAAAACAAATTAATGACATTTTTATGAAAAAATACATATAGAAAGAAGACAAATAACGCTGTTAATTTTTTTTTTTACTATAAACAATAAAAATAAAATAAAAAAATCAAGGGATTTGCAGCAATTGAAGTCATACGCCGACTCAAACTATCACAGATCCTGCAGCCAATAAATAATAATATCTATATGTTTTTAGTTGGTCCTAGTTAACCAAAGTAATTATTTATATTATTTAAAATTGTTGTGTAAAGTGTGGTTGAAATGAACAATTAGTCGCACAAGCAGGACGAGGTCACGACACCACAAGTGGTTAGATCAGCGGCATATTGAGCCAAAAGTCACGGATTTGAGTCCTGCTTGTGACACTAATTTTTAATTTCAGTCATGCTTTACATAAAAATTATAAATCAATTTAAAATAATAATCTTTTCCGATCCATTTTATAAAAAGGGAACTTTAATATTTTCTGTACATTCCCACCTGGTGGTATGTCAATTCAAATTACCTATTATTTATTTTTTTATTCAAAGATTTGATCGAAAAACTTATTCGTGTAAAAGGGCCTTGTCACTTTCTGTGTTCATACCTAGTGGTTGCCAATTAAAACCCCCACCTACAATTTTTTGATAAAAAAAACTTACCTGTGCAAAGGGGCCTTGACAGTTTCTGTGTTTATACCTAGTGGCTGCCAATTAAATCCCCCACCTTCAATTTTTTGATAAAAAAACTTACCTGTGCAAAGTGGCCTTGACAGTTTCTGTGTTTATACCTAGTGGCTGCCAATTAAAACCCCCACCTTCAATTTTTTGATAAAAAAGACTTACTTGTGTAAAGGGGCCTTGACAGTTTCTGTGTTTATACCTAGTGGCTGCCAATTAAATCCCCCACCTACAATTTTTGGATAAAAAAACTTACCTGTGCAGGGGCCTTGACAGTTTCTGTGTTTATACCTAGTGGCTGCCAATTAAATCCCCCACCTACAATTTTTGGATAAAAAAACTTACCTGTGCAAAGGGGCCTCAGCAGTTTCTTTGTTCATACCTAGTGGCTGCCAATTAAATCCCCCACCTACAATTTTTTGATTAAAAAGACTTACTTGTGTAAATGGCCTTAATTCTGTGGCTGTCAATTAAAACTCTTCCACCAAATTTTACCCATTTTACTTACCCCAAAGGGCCTTAATATATTCTACATGCGTGCAATAGTAAAATGAGAAATTTCTTTGTAGATTTACCCGAAGGGAAGTTGCAGCAGAATTATACGAGAATGAGCCAGCAAGAATTGTAGTGAAGCACCTTGAAGCTAGAAGTACATCATCATTACATTATGAAATAGTGCAAGGAAATGTGGACAATGCATTTTACGTCAATCCTACTACTGGTGTTATATATACAAATACTCCTTTAGATTATGAAAAAAATAAAGTTTATAATCTAACTGCTACTGCTACAAACATGGTGGAGTATTCTAATATGTTCATGCTAGTTGTAGAAGAATTTTTTTATAATAATTTTATGTTTAGGCTGGTGCTAAAGCTGTGTGTCATGTTGTTGTGCACCTAATGGACAGAAATGATAATCCTCCTTATTTTCGTGAAACTTTATACCAAGGGTGGATCAATGAAGGAGCGCCTATCGCTTCGCTTGTATTTTATAATCAAAGTTCCCATCTTGTATTAGCGGCTTCAGATGAAGATTCTCAGCTGAATGCTTTATTGCAATACGACATTGTTGAACCAGGGCCTCAGAGATGGTTTCACATTGATTCTACAACAGGTTCAATCGACAATATTGTATTATTATTTTTTTTTTATTTGCTCAAACCAACATTAATATTTTATAGGTGCAATAAGAACAATAGCAACATTAGATCATGAAACAGATCCGTTAATAGAATTCCACGTAAAAGTCACCGACTTAGGAAAACCTCGCCTTTCTTCAGAAACGCTTGCTAAAGTTGTGATAAAAGTGAATGATATTAATGACTGCAGCCCAAAATTTTCTCAACGCATTTACAATACGTCTATCCTAACACCAACTTACGCAAATATTGCAGTTCTGCAGGTTTGTATAACATGTTCATTTTGTAAAAGATTCTAGTTATCAGGGACAGGATTTATAAGTGAAATAAAATATAAAATATGTTTAATTCTATTACTTAAGGGTTCAAGGTATGTTCTTGATAGAAAAAAAAATTCAGTTGTTACAACCAAGATTTCGACCAATTGGCATTATGTCAATTTGTAGATATATTTTTGCACTGATTTGACCTTAAAATAGGTCGAAAACTTGGCAGTAACAATTGAATTTTTTTTTTCTTTCATCAAGACCAAACCGATTATTCATGATTGAAAACATGGTCGATTCGTCTGACACTTTAAACAAAACTATGGGTTGACAAAATAATTGCTTTTCACTCCGCAAACATGGAATAATTTTTACTTATGTCAAGGCAACCAGCATCTAATCCATATCATCGTTTACCAAGATCCATCAATCCAGAAGGTTCTTTGCTATGTAGGCTTCAGTTTAACCAAAATCAGCTCTGTACCACTTATTTAAGATAAGATTGAGGAACAATAAATGTTGCGAGTGTGATAGGTCAGTAGAGCACTTAGACTGGCATGTACACTTTCTGCCAGACTATCTATTTATAATTATTGTCTTATATCCTTGTTATTCTTGAAGTGATGCCGCATCGGGGGTTGTTCAGGCAGGATTATTTGCCTCTGGCATGGGGGGGGTTAGATGTGGACTTTTTATTTTATTTATAGACCAAAATATGTAAATTAAGATAAAATATATAATTATATGATAAATCCTCTAAATATCTACAAATACATAAAATGAAATGGGGTTTATTTAACAATAAATTTAAAAAACCAGACCGCATCTCATGACCTCCAAATAATAATAAATAAAAATTTTTAAAATGGTGTACAAGGTTCAGAAAAAAAACATGTGAATGCATATAAATCCGATCCCTACTAGTTACTACAGCATAAATAAACATTTATTAATAACGTAAAACCTATTTTGTTTTAGCTGAATGCCACTGACAAAGATTCAGCAAACATTACAAAACTCTCTTTTTCTATACGCTCAGGTAATGTGGATAATGTTTATAGTATCGGGTCTGAAACAGGAATCATTACTGTTCACGATCCAATCAGTGGTGCCAAAACCGCACCACATAGACTTAGAGTAGCTGTCACCGATGGAAAATTTGTTGATGAAGCGTAAGTTAATGCATAATCCTATTTGTATTATTAACAGTAGTATTAGCAAATTTGTATTGTGTTTTCTTATTTAAAATGCAATTTCAGGATGGTGTACATTACCTGGGAACACAGCCAAGATTCAGGATTGAAATTTCAAAGATCAATTTATCATGGATCTGTACTTGAAAATTCGACGAAATCAATAACCGTAGCTGTAGTTACTGTATTAGGAAGCCATTTGAATGAGCATTTAACTTTTTCGATACTAAACCCATCACCATATTTTACTATTGGACCTACTTCGGGTGCATTGAGAACAACAGGTGTAAGATTTGATAGAGAACACCAAGAACGCTATCAACTGATAGTCCAGGTAAATTAAAATATTAAAAAAAACTAACTTAACTTATTTAAGTCAAATCTTTTTTTTCTTCTAACCACTAAGAATCACCCCTTAAAAATGTGGATCTGTTTGTCAAACCTTGTTAGCCAGACACTTCTAGTGTATAGAAAAGAGTTCAAAATTCATTGAGTTAAATATTTTAAATGCTTAAAAGGGATAATTGCATAATTGACAGGGGGAAAATAGTGAAATAAACAGTTTAAAAAACTAACAAGTCACGCAGGGTAGTTTTGATTTCTGTTCTCCATTGATGGTTTTTCCTATTTGAAGAAAGATTGCCCATTGACCCTTCATAAATGGCCATGTCTATCCATCTGTCCCTTATAGGTTATTTTGAGATTAGAAATTAGGTGTGGTTTGGCAAAATCTTCAAGACATAAGAGAGAAAAAAAACAAGCTGTATACAGTCACGACCTCTCTAAAGTTAAACTGAGTAATCTATGTTTTTCTAGTAAAATTTTCTGTATACTCCATTCTCTTTTCTTGGTCTTGCCTTCTTGGGTATAGAGACAGGAAGGCTCTGAATTTTTCAGGGTTCAATCCCGGGGTTAGACAGGGTTGCTTGCTATGCCCAATTTTGTTTGATCTCTTTTTGGATGGACTCCCTCTGTCCTGTTACGTGGACCATTGACGATTTAAGTCTAACGTATCTGATTGTTATATGAACTCCCTGTTTGTCATTGTCCCCACACTTAATCAAAGACTTCCACTGCTAAAATAGTTTTAAACAAAATCTGATCACTCGCGAGTTTGCAAAAAATAATCTCCCCCCTCAGGTTATATTATGTTATATGTGGTAGAGGTCGATTTAGGACTATTGTGTAACCCATATGATGATGATCATACCGTGGATAGAAAGCTTTTCCTCACAAAACTAAGTACCTCTGGTGCCTCTTCACACACTTTTCCTGGCATGAGAATTGCCTTACCAAAGTGGCTGTACCGTATACGGGCTAGTTCCTCACATACAGTAAGAGTCAACATGTTTCTTCAATTTTGCCTGCTGACATTCCTTCACTTTCCATTCTGGGAGATTTATAAATCTTTTAGCTTGCCTGATCCTTTGCTTTTATCCAGTGCTTGAGCTTTTCTTTCTCAAGTCATTTTTCCCACTCTAACTTTGGCAATCTTCAATGCACCTAGTTCTAGTCCCATGAGTGAAAGTACTTTTTTGATTAATTGGTCATCCTGTTCATTTCTTCTACATCTTAATGTCTTGGAATGCAACTGAAAGTAAATTTTATGTTTTTCTAGAGCCATTAGGCAAGTTTGGGGCTAGCTTATAGTAAGCTACAGCTTAAAATTATGTAAATTGTTGTTTTCTTTATCAACTCCTTGCATTTTCTGTTACCAAACTTTTGAGGCATGCAAAACATCCAAACATATTTTATTGGAAAACTGTGCTGAAATTATTGAAGGCACATGAAGGAAATTTGTCTAAAATTGCGGCGACTGAAGTCACAGCGACCTCATGATTTTCTCACCGGCATGTTATGTTCCGGAAGCACAATCTTGATGAATCCCTCTCGTTGGATAATATGTCTTCTCTTCGAGATCACTTCCGCAATCTATTAAATGAAATCAATGTTGTTAAGTGCCCACACTATAAACAATTTAAAATTTACAAGAAGCTTAAACATGACATGACAATCTTTGATCTGCAAAATGAAAATTATAAGGGTCTGCATTGATGTATTGGATCTTCTTGAGGTCATTTTACAGGTGAATAAAAAACGAAAAAACGAAAAGAAAAAAAAATGACCTCAAGAAGATCCAATACATCAATTTAAACTACGGAGGTCGATCACTATCAACTAGAATAAGGGTCTACCTTCACAGGGCTTAATTGTTTTTTTAAATTCACTATTTTTCGTGGTCCGCTTGACCAATTAATAACATTAAATTAATTAAGGTTTTAAGTTCAGATAAAAAAGTCAGTGTCACGAGTGGGATTCGAACCCACGACCTTCAGCTTGATACGCCGCTACTCTACCACTTGAGCTATCGTGATTTTGATCCACTCCAACACCAACTCCCCATCTCAACCCCACCTTTTTGAATTTTCCCTCCTATTTGCCATTTTTCAAATGTCGTGTAATCGGATTGGATTCTCGGCGACAAATGAAATGGCCACGGAGAGCTTTAGTAAAGTGTACTTCATTTCAATTCATTAAATTCACTATTTTTCGTGGTCCGCTTGACCAATTAATTACATTAAATTAATTAAAGTTTTAAGTTGAGATAAAGGCAAGGTCGAAGTCACGATAGCTCAAGCGGTAGAGTAGCGGCGTATCTGGCCGAAGGTCGTGGGTTCGACACTGACTCGTGACACTGACTTTTTTATCTCAACTTAAAACCTTAATTTTGGCAGTATGGATCAAGGGAAATGCAGGAATAATTTTCTTTATAACTCTTATTTTGGTTATTATTATTCGAACATTAAATCTTGAGTGAAAAACATTTTTCATATTTTGGGACTGTTGTGTTAGGCTTCCTTCAAAGTATGAATGGCTCTGATGCTCTGATTCATGTGCAGTATGCTTGGACGTATAATTTTATATATTATATTACTTTAACAATTTTTCTGTGTTTCTTCTGTTTTTACTTGGTTTTTCTTTTGTATTGTTTGTTCTATGAGAATTCTATTTTTCTTTTCTGTTATTCGTACATTTTTTGGCATAAACCACCAGCGGACGGATCGTTATCCATATTGTATTGCTCTTGTTTAATTATAAGTAAGTTTATGTTTTATACTTTAAAAATCTGTATCTGTATTTTTTTAGACAAGAAGTAAAGAGTCAAGGGAAGATGAAATTCGAGTCGCCCATGTGGCAGTAAATGTCACCGTTTTAGATATAAATGATAATTGCCCGATGTTTGTCAATTTACCGTATTATGCTGTTGTGTCAGTCGATGCCAAGAAAGGAGATGTAATCACAAAGGTAATTTTTTTTTTTATAACTAAACTTAATGCAGATTAAATAATAAAAACGAAGCAATATTTTCTTTTCGTACTCAGTGATGATTTGGAGAATTAGGTTATAGGTAGTTTTACATGATGTAAATATTGGGTTGTCCGGAAAATAATGCAGGATTTTAAGTTTTCATTAAAAAAAATCTATATAAAATATTCTGTTTACGTTTACAGGATTACTCATTTGTATGAATGTCAACACTTATTNGGGAAATTATTTTGATTAAAGAACATTGCTTTAAAGTAACTAGTTTCTTTTTTTTTGTTTAATACCAAAATCCTGCATTATTTTCCGGACAACCCAATAAAAGTCAATAATTTACTCTAAACATTTGCATTATGATGATTGATTAATTATTTTTTTACTAGGTGCATGCGATAGATTTAGATAAAGGAGAAAACGGAGAAGTTCGTTATGAACTTATAAGAGGAAGCGGTGATCTGTTTAAAGTATGCAGGAAAACAGGAGAAGTTACACCAAAACAAGCATTAGAAGGACATAATAGAGAGTACCAATTAATTATAGCTGCTTATGATGGAGGTAAGTGTTGTGGTGTTTATATGATCATATTTATACTGTATGTCACGAGTGGTTGATTATACAGATAAATGTATTTTAATACGCATTCTGTTTCTGTTTATTTATGTACTTAATAATATTAATTTGTTAGGGAGTACACCTTGCTCAACTAAAGTTAACGTTGTCGTGAAAGTTATGGATAGATCAATGCCGATTTTTGACAAACAGTTTTACACAGTGTCTACACTAGAAAATATAGATCTTCATTCTCCTTTATCGATTTCTATACAAGCAGAATCGCCATTAGGAAGAAAATTGATTTATTCTATTGTTAGTGGCAATAATGACGAGAAGTTTGCTGTCGACTTCAATACAGGTACGTCAGAATTTATCCATTGTTGTAAATTGTTTGGTTTAAGACAAATAGAAATATATATTTTCATTGATTACGAAGAAAAAAAATTGTAAAAGATTGCAAAAAAAATTTCTTACGATTTCATGAGATCTTGTTTTTACTAATATCATTAATAAACTTTCTTCAGTTGTTGAAGCATTCTAGATAATAACCAATTTGATTAATAATATACTTACCTATTTGTTTTTCTTTTCTAATAGTAGTAGAATTTCATATATTTGATTTCCTTTCTTTTGCTAACATTTTCAAATTGACAGAAAATTCTTATCGTTACGATAAGGTTACTTTAGTACTAATTGACTTCTCATTTCTTTTAAGAATTTCATACTTGGGTGTGGTTTTAATATTTCTTGGTTTGTTTTATTTCACAGCCTCTGACAGTGGTAATGGTCCATGTAAGTATATAATAATTCATTTTTTAAAAATCACAATAATAAATAAGTATTTTGTTTTCAAAAATATAAAAAATACGTTCATTTAAATGGAAATAAAAACAGAATACTTTGATTATTGTTATTATTTTAAGTTTTAAGGAACTTAGAAAAAATATGTAATTTATATAGTTTATTAAATATGTTTTTATGTTTTTGTTTTGTATGCGTTTCAAGATTATTATATATCAATTGCATTGTTTTATTACCTAGGATAAGAAAATAACATGCAACTGAATTAAATGAGAATAAATATATTAAAAAATTGCAGAAGTGAAAATACTCTATCAGTAAGCTATTGGGTTGTCCGGAAAATAATGCAGGATTTTGGTATTAAACAAAAAAAAAGAAACTAGTTACTTTAAAGCAATGTTCTTTAATCAAAATAATTTCCCATNAAACTTAAAATCCTGCATTATTTTCCGGACAACCCAATAAAAAAAGTATTTGTAAACACAATTTGGGTTCATTTTAAGCACCTTTTAAAGCCCTTAAATACTTAATTTTTTAGCAAACAAAAAATAAGACATTTTGGCTGGATTAGTCGGGGGAATTTTTTCTCTTGCCGATTTCCAGTGTTCCACTTAAAAATTCATAACTCCTCTGGATTTTATCCAAATTCAATGTTATTACAACTAAATTCACTAATTTCGTGGTCCGCTTGACGAAATAATACTTTACAATTAATTAAGGTTTTTAGTTGAGATAAAAAAAGGCAATGGCACGAGCGGGATTCAAACCCACGATCTTCGGCTAGATACACCGCTGCTCTACCACTTGAGCTATAGTGACCTCGATCGGAGGGAAAATTCAAAAGGTGCGGTTGAGATGGGAAGTTGGTGTCCGAGTGGATCGAGGTCACGATAGCTCAAGTGGTAGAGCAGCGACGTATCAAGCCGAAGATCGTGGGTTCGAATCCCGCTCGTGCCATTGACTTTTTATCTCATCCAATACTTTATACAAAGATTAATTAATTGAAAGATGTTATTTGGTCAATCGGACCACGAAATCAAACTGTCATAAAGCTTATTCTCTCTTCTTTCAGACTATGCCAAGATTTGGGTTTTGTGTCAGTATAAGTGAGAAAATAATAAAGGATGAAATCAACAAAAAAAATTTCAATTATTTTATATACCTTGTAATTTATTAAATTCACTATTTTTCGTGGTCCGCTTGACCAATTAATATCATTCAATTAAGGTTTTTAGTTGAGATAAAAAATCCCGCTCATGACACTGACTTTTTTATCTCAACTAAAAACCTAATTACTTGTAATTTATTTACAAAAGCAAAGTTTTTGCTATTACATTATGTTTATAAGGCTCTAGACTACTGTAACGTATCCAGTAGATTGGTGTAGTCGTTTCAAAGTTATCACCATTTTTGCGATTTTCAGAAAAAATCCCTTGCATTTGCAAGAACAAAAATTTAAGAGAAAAAGTTTTTTTCCCTAGAAATTTGTATTCAGGTTTCGGGCACAAAGAACAAATATAGACTTTGCTTCTTGCTAGAAAAAAATGGTTTAACCTATTTTGCTTTGACTAGATGACAAATACAATTTTTACTTAGTGGTTGGTGCAATAAACAACAAAACCAAGTAGATATTCATTTTTGCATCCCCAAAACCTTGAATACAAATTTTTGGAAAAATAAAAAAATAATTTGTTTTTCCCAAAATGTTTTGCCTTTCTAATGATTTATTTTTTCATCATCACTGATGTTTTACTTTATTTTACTGTAATCGTTTTATTTATACAGTTTTTCTTTATATTATTATTGTTTATTCAAATTTTAGCTATGTAATTTATTTTTATAAAAAAAATCTTTTTTTAAATAAAATAATACAGTTATATAGTAAGTGTATATCTATTAATTTGCTGTTACTTGTCTTGAATTCATTAGGTGGACTGTATGTGGTGGATGAGCTAGACTATGAGACGCAACAAGAATATGCCCTTTATATAAGGGCGACAGATAGTGTATCTGGTGTCTCAGCCGATGTACCAGTAAACGTTCTAGTTCTCGATGTAAACGATAGCCCTCCAGAATTCATGGATGATGCTTACAATGTATCTGTATCTGAAGCTGCACCGTTCGGGACAATCATATTAAAATTAACTGCTCACGACAATGATACGGGTGAGTTATTCAGTGAACTTATTCGCTGTAGGCGGAATAAAAGATAAATTATAATCGAACGAAATTGTAGGTTTAAATGCGAAAATTAGATATTCACTGAAGAACGATAATAACACAACGGAAAACTTTCATATTGATCCTGAAGATGGTTCGATATATTTAAAACGCTCTTTAGACCATGAAACACAAACTCTACATCACATAGTTGCAATCGCTACCGACTGCGGTATTCCTAATCTGTCGAGCTCAGTGCATGTTTGGATTAAAGGTACTTTATAGCATTTCCATTTGTCTTATTTATTTTATTTTAATGCTTCTATTGTCGACACAGTTCTTGACATGAATGATAATCCTCCGAAGCTTGAAAAAAATATTTACGCTTGGCTCTCGGAAGAAGCTAGCAGAGGACAAGTTGTGACTATAGTCACAGCGAGTGATCGTGATTCAGTTGATCACAAGAGATTAGTATATAGCATAGTCGGTGGAAACCAACAGCAGACGTTTTTCATGGATCCAACAACAGGTAATAAACTATCGACACAATAAACAAATAATGAAATTTAAATATTTTTATTTTCAGGAATTATAACTCTAATAAATTTACATAAATTAACGAATTCTCGTCTGCATATTTTAAATGTGTCTGTCAGCGACGGCGTCTATACTAGTTTTACTAAAATCAATGTTGAGATGATTTCTGCAAATAAGCATAGCCCACAATTTGAAAAACCCATTTACGAAGTTAAGGTTGGGGAAAATTTGCCACCAGGTACACCTGTTGTTAAAGTTACAGCGACTGACAAAGATTCGGATCCGTACGGCTACGTCAGCTATTTCATTAGCTCGGATAAAATTTTAGAATCCTTCGAAATTTACAATTTGACAGGTATGTTGTACTTTTGAACTCTCTTTATGACAGTCATTATTAATTTAACCTTATTTGCACAGGAGAAATCATGACAAAAGTATCTCTCGATAGAGAAAAACAAAAAGTTTATGAAATTCCAGTTGTTGCAATAGATACTGGAGGAAAAGTAGGATTTTCTATTGTCCGCGTGTGGATTTCTGATGCAAATGACAACTCTCCTGTTTTCGTCTTGCCAGAATACAAAGCCTGCATTCACAGCAATTTTTCTATAAATTCTGTATTTTTAAAGGTATTTATTACTTGCAGTAGTAAAATTTTAACAAAAAATAAGAATTTTCATTTACAAGTTAGAAAATTAATTTATGCGAAGTTTTATATTGGATTTTAATTTTTTGACTATTCATACCATTTGTATATTGAGTTAACATAATTAAAAGTCACTTGCTGATTTAGGTAAAAGCTGTTGATAAAGATGAAGACCATTCTGCACAAATTGAATATTCAATTTATGAAAAAGAAGCCAGTGGGGTGAGAGATCTATTTCAAATAAACAAGAATACAGGCGGTCTGTCTCTTCTAAGATCAGCTTTACCATCAGGTTAGCCAGCATATCCATTCCAGATTTATTTAAGAGAAGCGTCTTTAATAATTATATTTTGCTTTATTTATTTTTTCTTCAGAAAACCAGATGTTCCAGTTTTTTATTCGAGCTACAGACAAAGGCTTCCCTCCATTGCACTCTGACGTTCCGGTTGATATTTATATAATGTCGCAGAAAGATGTTTCACCGATGTTCGAAAGAAGGGATGATAAATTTTTCGTCACTGAGAGTGCTGCACCAGGTAAATGGTTTATGTTTTCATTTGACAATACAACATGCAAAGACTATGAGTATGCAAAGCATAAAACATGAAGTTATAATAAAAGAAAGTCTACAGAGTGATTGTATAAAGTATATTTATGAATTTTTTTTTTTTTTTTACGAGGGTTCGCAACAGCAGAGGTCATATCAACCCTCGGGGTGCGGGTGTTTTTGAAAAAAAGCTCATTTGTGAGTATGTTGAGTTCGAATCCAGGGCCGCTGGATTCGAACCCAGGACCTTACAGTGATGAGCGCCGTGTCAACACCTAAACCCTTGCGGTCACCAATGCCCCAATTTTATATTATAAAGGTGGAGAAGTAATTCATTAATTACATTGTTCACATTCCTCACTAGGGATGAAATCGCGAACCCATTGGTGCTTTAGGCATCTTAGAGGATTGTCGGGATGAAAGGCAAAGGTCTCCAGGGTTTTATGGAGGCATCTGGATCAACTTCTTTCCTTTTTGAGGACAAATGGAAGATCTGTGAGGATAGTAAACTTAGATCCTAAGTAAGAAGCATGGCCAATGTTCAAAGTATTTTGGACTGGAGTGATTGGATTCTGTGGAGGTTGGAACATTCGTTTGAACCCCAATTTCAATCACATTTGCCCCGATTGGGGATAAAAGGGTTGGACTAGATGGTTGGGATGAGGAGGTTTTTATGGAGGCATCTGTATCGACTTCGTGCCTTTTCATAGACAAATGGAAGGTTGGTATGGATAGTAAGGTTCGCTCCAAAGTAGGGAGCTTGCATGATTTTGAGAATTTTGGACTAAATTCTTTGGAGATTGGAATGGTTAGTTAATTACATATGACCAGATTGGCTGTATTAGTAATATGTAAATGAGACATTTGTTTTGTAGCAAAAATTGCGATCTGTTGTCAAGTATTTTTTAGAAGCAATTAATTAAGGTTTTTAGTTGGGATAAAAAAGTCAACGGCACGAGCGGGATTCGAACCCACGATCTTCGGCTAGATACGCCGCTGCTCTATCACTTGAGCTATCATGACCTCGATCCACTCGGACACTAACTTCCCATCTGGCAAAAAGGCAAAAAGGAGGGGAAATTCAAAAGGTGGGGTTGAGATGGGAATTTAGTGCCCGAGTGGATCGAGGTCACGGTAGCTCAAGTGGTAGAGCAGCAGCGTATCTAGCCGAAGATCGTGGTTTCGAATCCCGCTCGTGCCATTGACTTTTTTATCTCAACTAAAAACCTTAATTAATTGTAATATATTAATTGGTCAAGCGGACCACGAAATTAGTGAATTTAATTTTTTAGAAGTCTGTATCATCTGTAGCCGTTTAGCTGTTGACACGGCACTCATCACTGTAAGGTTAAAGAACCAGGTTTGAATCCAGGCTCTCCCAACATACTTACAAATGGGCTTTTTTTCAAAATCACCAACACCCTGATGACGTCTGCATATTACCTCTGCTTTTGCGAACCCTTGTAATAAAAAATTAATTTAAAAAAAAGTCTGTTCAATTCTATTTGTTTGATTGGTTTGAAGTATTTTATTGATGTTAAGTCCCAAATAGAGAACAACATTGATTGTGGCAAAGGGTGATTGTTATTTGGGATTTGTTTTGTTGACCCTCGTCTTCCATTTGTTGAACCATTCTTCCAAAACAGGAAAGATGGTCATGGAAGGTTCTGAAGTCCATTATCAATGATAATAAGTCTATTTTCGACAGTGCTGAATACAAAATAAAAATTGCTGAAAATATTAATGAAGGAAGTCCAATTTTAAAAGGTTTCCTTGATTGCTTATGTATCAATATGATAATGAGGCCAAGGATGTTGCCTTGAGGAACACCCGTTTTGGCATAGTAAAAGGGGGAATGATGTTCCGGACAGATAGAATTTTTGAATGCCGTAGGAATGGAAGGAAATCTTTTAATTTTCAGAACTTGCCGAATCAATCAAAGAAAGCAGGCAAAATAAATTCTTGTCATACAGGATGGCTTAACATCCAACATTGGTTGTCACAAACCAAATTGTTGAAATATGTTTACTATCATATTAAATCTAATTGATTTTCTACTATTTTCGATCAATACACCTAAGAAAAATCCTGTTTTTCTTCTATATTTACAGTTTGCTTAAATTAAGAAAAATAATATTTAGGAGTTCAAATTATCCCTGTTCTCTTATTTAAAAACTTCCATTTCATCACGTCTTACATTGTATTATTTTTTTACTATCTAATTTGTTAAATGAACTGTTTATTTGTTATTTTTTAGGAACTGTAATAACAAGAGTGAAATTGATAACGGAAATGCCTGTCAACTACAGACTTCTCTCTGGCAAAGATTATTTTATTATTGATCCAAGTGGGGTAATTTCTTTAAGCGGGCGTCTAGACAGAGAGTTATTCCCTTCACATGTAATCGGCGTATTAGCATATACAGAATCTAGCCCACCATTGACCGCAGTTACAGAAATTTCTCTTCAAGTATTGGACTCGAATGATAATAAACCTATTTTCGACAGCGCTGAATACAAAATAAAAATCGCTGAAAATATCAAGGAAGGAAGTCCAATTTTAAAAGGTATTCGCAACTTAATATTATTCTCTATTAATTAATAATTTTATAACAGTTTCTAATTCACTGTTTTTTCTTCTCCAATATAATTTAGTGCATGCATCAGACGCCGATGAAGGTACAAATGGTGAGATCCAATATTCTCTCACCGGGCCTGGAACTGCAATATTTTCTATTGATTCTCACACAGGATGGATAATATCCCTTGTAGCTTTAGATCGGGAAATTACCGAACATTATACATTAACTGTGATAGCATCCGATAGTGGCGCACCAACACACACTTCAAATGCGACAGTTTTTATCACTCTAATTGATTATAATGATAATCCACCAAAATTTGTTAAGAATTCTTATTCTGCATCGGGTAATTTGTTTAAAAATACAGTAGAACATACCTGATATAAATTATCTCTATTTTAAATTAACCTGTGCATTTTTAACCACTTGCAGTAAGCGAAAATGCGATGGCTGGTACTGTCGTAGTGCAGGTATCCATCACAGACCGAGATAGTGAAAGCTCGAACATCGTATTCTATATTATTGGTGGAGACCCTCATAGCCAATTTGATGTGAAATTAAGTGGTGAGGTTTATGTCACTCGGCCGCTGGATAGAGAAGCTATTGACAAATATAAACTGTCCATTTTTGCTACTGATGGGAAACATTCTACTGTAACAACTCTTTATGTGGACGTTTTGGATGAAAATGGTATTAAATAAACACCGATGTAGTATACGACGAAAGAAGTTTAAATGACATTTTATTTCAGATCAAGAACCATACTGTTTGCTCTATCGTTATAAGGAGACGATTTCAGAAGCGGTTCCTCCTGGATATTACATTCTTACTGTGAAGGCAGTCGATCTCGATTTAGGTTCTAAATTAAAATTCTATTTAACAGGGGATAATGCAGAATATTTTAATTTAGATAGAACAACAGGTGATTATTACCTTCGTCGCTTCAACAATAGCACAAGTCCTATGCGAACTTTTACATTTATTTTTCAGGAGAACTGAAAACGCTTAAGAGTTTGGATCGCGAAAGAATATCCGAATTTCATTTAACCGCTCATGTACAAGATCGTGAGCATATTGAATGGGAGTGTATTTCGCACATCGACATAACTGTTCTTGATGTAAATGACAATGCTCCTGTCTTTTCGTCGTCCAATTTATCTGTCAGTGTTTCTGAAGGGGCTTCGATCGGAAGCCTCGTCACTAAAATCCATGCTATAGACGATGACATAGGTAAATTTTTTGACTAAATTATTTCCCTCTCATTGTTTTCAGTCATTAATTTTAATTTAAAAATTTAGGTGTAAACAGGAAAATTAGATATGTATTAGTGGATTCAGCTGATGGTCATTTTAAAATAGTATCTGACAGCGGAATAATTACTCTTGCTCGAGTCTTAGACCGAGAAACTAAGGATTCGTACAATCTCACAGTCAAGGCTGTGGACCAGGGGCTTCCCCAGCTTTGGAATGTTGCTTCGCTCACAGTCCATGTGCTAGACGTCAATGATAATCCACCTGAATTCCAAACAAGAACACACCACGCGTCGATACCCGAGAATGCCGCTATAGATACCCATGTGACACAGGTCATGGCGACGTCGATAGATGCTGGCATCAATGCTCAAATTGAATATTCAATTGTCGGTGGTAATGAACACGGAAAATTTGCAATTGAATATGACACAGGTAATTTATTTAATCAAAATAATAATTACAATTAATTAAGGTTTTTAGTTGAGATAAAAAAAGTCAATGGCATGAGCGGGATTCGAACCCACGATCTTCGGCTTGATACGCCGCTGCTCTACCACTTGAGCTATCGTGACCTCGATCCACTCGGACACCAACTTCCCACTCAACTGCACCTTTTGAATTTTCCCTCCTTTTGCCATTTTTCAAATGTCGTGTAATCGGTTTTGATTCTTGACGACAAATGAAATGGCCACCCAGACATTAGTGAAGTATACTTCATTTTAAACCATTAAATTCACTAATTTCGTGGTCCGCTTGACCAATTACTATTACAATTAATTAAGGTTTTTAGTTGAGATAAAAAAGTTGTAATGGTAAAGTGGTAATGTTGCCATTGACTTTTTTATCTCAACTAAAAACCTTAATTAATTGTAATATATTAATTGGTCAAGCGGACCACGAAATTAGTGAATTTAATGAATTAAAATGAAGTACACTTCACTAAAGCTCTCCATGGCCATTTCATTTGTCGTCGAGAATCCAATCCGATTAAACGACATTTGAAAAATGGCAAAAAGGAGGGAAAACTCATAAGGTGGGATTGAGTGGGAAGTTGGTGTCCGAGTGGATCGAGGTCACGATAGCTCAAGTGGTAGAGCAGCGGTGTATCAAGCCGAAGATCGTGGGTTCGAATCCCGCTCGTGACGACTTTTTTATCTCAACTAAAAACCTTAATTAATTGTAATATATTAATTGGTCAAGTGGACCACGAAATTAATGAATGTAAAAATAATAATAATAACATTTCACATTTTTATAATTGATTTGTTCATTTTAGGAATAATAACTATTGCTCAACCTCTTGATTATGAAAGAGCTCGTGAATACCTTATTACCGTTCAAGCTACTGATTTGGGTGTACCACCCTTATCAAATCAAGCGACAGTAAATATAACTGTTCTAGACAGCAATGATAATGCACCTGTGTTTTCTGAAGTATCTTATTCTGCAAAAATAGCCGAAGACGCCATGATAGGTGAAATTGTAGCTCAGGTAATATAACATCATTTAACTATTCATTATAGGTTTGAATGCTTTATTAATTCATTCGTTCGTTCAGGTTTCTGCTACTGATCTAGACACCGAAGAAAATGGAGATGTAACGTATTCTATAGAAAGGGGTGATGCACACCAACAATTTTCAATTCACCCTAAAACTGGAGAAGTTTCTGTAATTCAGCCATTAGATCGAGAACTTGTAATATTTTATGATCAATTTTAGACTTTGTAATAATTTTATTTGACATCTATGACTAAACCTTATTTACAGGTTTCCAGTTATGTTCTACAAATCCGAGCTAGTGATAATGGAGAGTCAGTGCTATCAAGTTCAGCAATTTTAAAGATTGAAGTCTTAGATGTAAATGACAACCCTCCTCTTTTTACACAAACAAATTATACCGTTATTGTGCAGGTAATTTTTCTCGATTGTTTTGAATTTGGTTTAAAATTTAATTATTTCACTTGACAAATTTATTTACAGGAAGATAAACGTCCAGGATGGATTGTTTGTCAGCTTCTTGTTACAGATAGTGACATTTCTCCAAATGCGGGACCATTTATTTTTGATATTCTTGCTAAAAAAGGAGTATCGGCCTTTAGAATAGAAAAGGATGGTACAATTCGAACTGCAGCTCTATTAAGTCATAAACTTGAGAGTACTTACACATTGCACGTTCGCGTTTTTGATAATGGGAATCCTCCTTTGTACTCAGACACTTGGGTAATCGTGAAGGTACTAGCTTTTCAAGCAATCGTTATTTTCGCTTATTATTAAATTTTTGTTGTCACATTTAAACAATTTTCAAAATGATAACACAAATCAATTTAGAAATAGTGACTAAACGGCGCATTTTATTTTCAGGTTATTGAAGAATCCCAATATCCACCTATTGCAACTCCTCTTGATATTTGGATCGGTTCTTACCAAGAAAGATGGGATGGAGGAGAAATAGGACGTGTCCATGCTACAGATCAGGATCAATTTGATATTCTGAATTTTTCACTTGTGCCTTCACATCAGTCAGTTAATTCCTTATTTACTATTGATTCACGACAAGGCATATTATCGACATTACCAGGGCTTGATAACGGCATTTATCGCTTGAATATATCCATCAGTGATGGCAAATATATATCATTTTGTCCAGTGACGGTTACAGTGGAATCTCTTTGGGATGAGATGCTACTCCAATCATACAGTGTTAGGTATGATTTCAAAACATTTTAAATTTTAAGTTGCAGATTCCACCTCTTCATCTAGATATAAATGATGTATAGCCTTATTATAGCACTTCAACCCAATCTTTTCCATATTTTTTATTTTATTTAGTACATAATTACAACTTTGAGTGACAGTGGCAGGCAGGGTCACTTTAACTACAATAAGAAAGTCTTGAGATTGTTTAACTTGTAGTAAATAGTTACAGCAAGGGTTTTGAGAAGTGGGAAAAAGTAAAAAAAAAAAACTTATTTAGACTTTAGGAGAAATTCACAAAATAGATTTTGAGGGCCCAAGTAAGTTAATAAATAAAAAAAATTATGTACATTTACGGAACAGAAATTATAGGAATGCCACAGCACTTAAAGAATATAACATGTATCATACAAATCACAGCTTGGTCTTGAAGCAGAATGTTCTTTACCCACCAGTGCTTTCAGCGCTTATTAAGGTCATAGGTTCCGATTACTCTCCATGGGGCAATCTTGCTGACAGCACATCTGCTGAAGAAGCGTAGCGTTCTTGACTTATCCTCCATGGCAATGGCCTTCATCCTAATAAAATACGTGATAATGATGGTGTTGGGATGAAAAGAAAAGTCAGCAGTGTACACTGTATAAAGGATTGGACCAAGAATGTTCCCTTGTGGGAGCCCAGCTTGTATTAGTCTGAGTATTTGTTGTCCGCACCTCAATCTGAAGAAGTAAGCAATTAAATAGGATTCCAGGATGAGGTAATTGGGGTGGGTAGGAATGGTTTAAGTTAATAAAGGATGTTTTGGACCTTATCAAAAGCCTGGGCCATACCCAAGCAATATTCTATGTTATCAAGAGGGGAAGAAATGGTGTCAATGACAACCTTGCTGATGATGAGGTGAGATGAACTGTTTCTGTTTGAATCTGTGATCATCTAGTATGATCACCTAGACACATACTTAAAAAGTATCTTTAGAAGATTTGGACATCACAGGAAGAAAGCTGTTAGGTCTATATTAGGCTCGGATCTTTATGGAAGGAAGTAAGTGGTATGTAGGATACTACTAAAAGTACTATGACCTTCTGAGGATGGTTTTTAAGTATAATGATAGTAATTAGGTCCTGGAGATTTTTCTCTTGAAGATTTGTGAAGTAATACTTCATTTCAGAAGTATGGATACTAACATCTTCATGGAGGCCAAGCACAGTAGCAAGAAGGCTCTGCACCGAAACAGTAAAAATTGCTCGTTTCTGCCCAAAATAGAAGCTTAAAATCAACTCCACCAAAACAGAAGCGATCCTCTTCACCAAAAGAAGACCTACAGTAATTGACCATGTCATGACATGTCGTACCCAAGTACTCGTCGTCACAAGACTAGAGGATCTTTAGCGTCCGCACCTGGCCTATTCGGCCTTATCGGACGTTCTCAAGATGAGAGCTGACACACCTCCGCATATGACGGAAGAGTGTTACCGCTGCAGCATTGGTATAGAGGCGTCTCAGCCCCCTAAGGGCCAAAAACAACCTCGCCCTCCGCTTGTCCACTCCGAATGGTCGGGCCCGCATTGTGCATCGGGTCGTATGCCGCACGCAAAGGGCTAACAAGCCGAAATACATCAGCCTGTTCTCCCGCGCACTCCCTAGTTAGAGAAGGCGACTCTATCTCCCAGAGTATTGGGGCTTCCCATAGCGTAGAAACTCTGGTTCTGCCAAGCCATTCAATTCTTACAATCAAAGGTCTTCAGACAAATCAAAGCTCCTTACTATCCAACCTCACTATCCACAATGACCTTAACATTCCTTTTATTAACAAATTAAACGATCTTTCTTCCAAAAGATCAAGATACAATATACAAATATAAAACACCAAACTTTCGATCCATCCTAACCGTACTACTGAAGTGTTAACTACCTTTCTATCTTAAGAACCCACCGCACCTTATCTTGATAAGATTATTATTAATATTGTAATTATATTTAAAAGGTTAAGGATAAGGAGAATTTAAAGTAAAGAAAAACAATTAATTAAGGTTTTTAGTTGAGATGAAAAAAAGTCAATGGCACGAGAGGGATTCGAACCCACGACCTTCGGCTTGATACGCCGCTGCTCTACCACCTGAGCTATTGTGACCTCGATCCACTCGGACATCAACTCCCCATCTCAACCCCACCTTATGAGTTTTCCCTCCTTTTGCCATTTTTCAAATGTCGTGTAATCGGTTTGGATTCTCGACGACAATTGAAATGGCGAACTAGCCGAAGGTCGTGGGTTCGAATCCCTCTCCTGCCATTGACTTTTTTTCATCTCAACTAAAAACCTTAATTAATTGTATAGTATTAATTGGTCAAGTGGACCACGAAATTAGTGAATATAAAGAAAAACACTCAGTTCCTTCGTCGAACTTTGGAGGAATAAATACCCTTATCAAGATTTTGAAACTATTTCTAGTGATTAAAATAAAACTAAACAACTTATTACAATTTTCAAAATTAGCTTCAACCACAAAATTATGAGTTTGTTTAGTACAGGGGATGAGATTTTTTATCCATCCATTGCACATTACAACAGTACAGTTAGTTACAAATAAATTCTGCTGAACTTTTTTTTTTCTTGCAGTTTCAAATATTTTATACAATTTACATTTCAGAGTACCTGGCATATCACCTTATAACTTCATAACTACACAGAGAAAACGTTTATTAAAAGAATTGCGATTAGTGTTAAAGAAAGAAGTGTCATTAATAAGTGTTCAAGATAGTGGCAGTGGCGATACTGACGTTTTGTTATTTATTAAAGGAGTAAGTAAATTTGTCTTTATTATTCATATAATTAAAGTTTAAAGTTTTTCACTGTTGGTTTTCAGGGAGTAGATATTCAATCGTTAAATTCTGCCTTGTTGACAATGAATCTACCGCTACTTCAACTAGAATGTAATTGTTTAAACGGGGCGTTGTGTCGTCAGCGGATTGCATTGAACCCAGAGAGGGTCATAACAATTTCAAGTGATTTGATTTCATTTGTTTCTCCATCTCATTCCCACGATGTTTACTGTGCATGCAACCTCGGATATTCTGGTCAGTTAATAATATAAAATGTTCAAATTAACCTCATTGTACATGTTTGGTGAGTCGTGAATTAAAATTATTGGCTTTGGTTTATTTTTAGGAGAACGGTGTGATGAATTGATCCCACCTGCACAATGTGAATGTCCACCGTCTCAAACGTGCATCGCGCAGCCGGCTCCACCGGGCTTCGTTTGCGCTCCTCCTTCTCCCGCTTCACCTCTTTGCTCTCCAAACCATACCTGCCCACCTCCACAAACTCCATCGTTCAAATCCGCTTTTTCCATAATTACATGGCAGCAATTGATGATTGCTGGAATCATCATTATTATAATTTTAGTTTTGTGCCTAACATGTTTAATATGCAAGTGAGTACACTGAATCAAGTCGACGAATGAAAATAGATATTACGTAATTATTAACTTGGATATTATTTTTAGATGCTGTTGTCGAAATTCGCGACAAAATGATTTAGACAAAACTTCCTCCGTGTTGAATTCTGATGTCAAAAGAACGTCGAAACTGAGCAATTTAGAAGTGACCCAGGTAACGGACTAATATCAGGCCTTATGTCTATAAGTTTTTCCTTTTGTTTATAAATTAATCAAGCACATTGGAAAGTTGTTAACAATGCTGCATGTGTTTTCAGTGCATCCCTCGTCCTGCTTCCTACACTTCAGGTTCACACAATGACGTTTATGCTGGCCCGTTGAACAATTTAGATACCGTACGTAGTTATGGTTCAGCTGGTGATGAATTAGAGAGTGTCCCTCCTGATTATGTTAAAAATCTAAATCGCAATGCCAACAGTCCAGGACATAAAATTAATAACGGTATGATTTTTTTGCCTTCACTTCACATGATACACAATCAGTACATTTTTGCACATTTTCGTTTTTAAAAAGTAAGTTTTTAATGGCAATTTGTTGTAAAAATCATTTCTACTTTCTGTTTAATTTTTCAAAATAAAATCATACACAAATTTCTAGATTTTTGAACTGTTCATAAGATCCGAGATTCAATGAAGTTATGGTGTTGTGTTTGTGAAAAATAGTCCTTTCTTTCTCTTGAAGTTTTCCACGAGTTTTTTTCTTCTTTTAGAAAGCTTTCAAAACAACACTCAGCCCCTCGTCAGCGTTTTGTTCTTTGTGCGTGAAATTAACCTTAGTCTACATAGTCTTTACTATAGTCAGGTTAAGATGGCCCACAAAGGAGGGGCCAAATGCTTTAAAATGATAATAATAATATGTTTTGAAGAAAAAGAAAGGAGTAAAATGTATGTGAATGCCCTTAACATCTTTGAAAATAGTTTTTTTTTCATACATTTAATTATTGTGTTATAACAGTTTAGAATAGCTTGTTGCGAGTTATACCTTCTTATTGGAAACATGTTTTAGTACACATTTGTAGATAATAACCAAATGACTAAAAAATAATAATAATACAGTTTACCGTTTATAAGGAACGGCTGGTTATTATATACAAAATCTCTGGTCCCATGAAATTTCATAAAGAAAAAGCATAGAACCATATGTAATCTATCTATAACTATCGGTTATAGCAGATAACATGAAAAAGTAACCCCAGCTGCCTAATGCTTCTAGGAAATATTCTTCCCTTTTTTAAAACTATAAATGTTTTTCAAAAATGTCTAAATAAAAAATAAAAACCGCGTCGTTAGTTTCTTCTGTTGAAGAAAAATTCGCGATAATTTCTCAGATCGCACCAGATGCGTCTGAGCAGTCTCGCAAGTGAAATGGGAATATCTCGTTCCAAAACATAAGGAATTATGAAAAATAGAGAGAAAATAATCAAATAATTTAATAAGTGCCATAAAGTTAAAAAAATATGGGCCAAAGAAAGACAACAGATTATGAATTACTTTATAATTAATTAAGGTTTTTAGTTGAGATAAAAAAGTCAATGGCACGAGCGGGTTTCGAACCCACGATCTTCGGCTTGATACGCCGCTGCTCTCCCACTTGAGCTGACGTGACCTCGATCCACTCAGAAACCAACTTCCCATCTCAACTGCACCTTTTGAATTTTCCCTCCTTTTTGCCATTTTTCAAATGTCGTGTAATCGGATTGGATTCTCGACGACAAATGAAATGGCCACGGAGAGCTTTAGTGAAGTNTATATGCATGTATTAATGTTTTAAAAACATTTATGTGAATAAATTACTTTAGCAGGATAGTATGTATTTTGTACTTCCTCATAAACCTAGATAAAGTTTATAATTACTAATTATATAATGAAATCAGTTTTGCTGTAAACATACATGCCTATCAATTGGTTCAAATGTTCAGATGTAATGAACTGTAATACTGCTTATAATGTACGAAATTTTATAGTCTTCTGTAGTTCGTTATGAACGATTTATACTGTAATAATTTCGTATTATCGTACATATATTTGCCACAATTATTTTGTTGTAATATTGTAACTTGAATTGTACACATTTGGAGGTACCTGAGTATTTACTAACTTGCCAATTATTTGTTGTTTTTTAGATGTAAAAAGGTTACCGGAAATTCCAGGGCCAAGGGGCCCAAGGAAGACGTTGAGCTGTGTAGAAGAAGATGCACGGATTTTAGGAGGTTAGAATTTTTTTTTAATTTTCTCAACAATTGTGTAGAATGAAAATTACTTGCATTTATGAAAATTTATTGAAAAACATAATTACATCCAACAATAATGGAAGGCTGAGAATTGATAGCGTATAAAACCCACAAATGGCAGCTACAAATGTGTGTGTGATCACTGATTTTATTGAAACTTATTTGGTGATGCTAGGTCAAAAAATACAGACATTGAAAAACTCAGTCCCAGCATTACAAGGACTGTGTGAAAGTCACAATTGGCTTCAATATGTCAATTTTTAGACATCTTTAAAATTGTGAGATTTCCTCCTGTGGTCTGTGGACCACAAACCTATTGTTTGATAGTGACGGAGGTCTTCGTATCCTTGCTGATTTTTGTTAGTTCAGATGTGGTTCAGTTAATTAGAAAAGATTGTGAAATGCCGAAATGCATCTGAACAAACAAAAATCACCAAGGATAGGCAGACCCAAATGATAGGTGATGAAACAAAGATCTCACTGATGTCCGGCATTCCACTCAAGAACTCCTAAAACCCTGGATTTTTTCCAAATTCAATGTTATTATATCGATTAGAAAGCTTAATTTTTTATCTTGTTGAAATAAATGAAGGAAAGACACCGTGTGTTTTACATTTTAGAAAGAACTATATCTGGGATTCTTAGCTAATTTTCTTTTTAGAGACAATAATTCTTTGAACTGTTTATGGACTGAAGGTTCATGAACTTGTATGACTTAAAATGGCCATAATGTTTGTTACCTTACGAAGTTTCTGTTTAAAGTGGTTAATTTATCTAATTTATCTAACACTTTAAACAAAGTACAATATGAAAATTTAAACTTTTTAATATATTTCTTCTTGTTATTTCCCCGCATATGATTAAATTTTTATTATTAATCATAGGTTATCATTGGGATTGCTCAGATTGGGTCCGGCCAAATCAAAATCCTCTCCCAAATATTACGGAAGTTCCAGGAAGCGAGGTACCCGATTCATCAAGCTTCCACAGCAATGACAGCAATGACTCCAATACCGTTCAGCAAGGCCAGCATCATGCACAGTCAAGTAAGATTATTCATACAATGTACATTAAGGGACAAAAAAAGTGGCCACCCTTAATATTTTTAATTATCTCTTAGACAATCCTCCATTGATTAACAATAATATTTGGTGCATTTTAAAGGATTAAAGATAACTAAACCACAGATAAAAAAAACCCTCTTGGGTTTACAATTGGATGTTGTAAATAAATCTTTTAATAGTTAACATCTTCTTGGTTAGATTTTTTGTTAAGTTCTTTCTCAGCCAGGGAAACTTTTGTCTAGCTTCAGCTATAAACATCTATTTGAGAAAGAGTAAGAGAAAGGTTTTTGCAATTTTTATAGATCTCAAGCAACATTTTGATTCTGTTTCACAGTTAAAAAAAAAAAAAAAAACTTTGTTACAGATGACAGCATACGTATCAGCAGGAAAATGTTTGACAATAATGATATCTACATACAATGTGTTAAGCGAGTTGTGATTTTGCAAGATGGCCTTCCTCAAAAGAGATTCTTTAATAAGTTATGAAAGCAGTCCTTCAGGGAGAGGTCTTGAGGCCTCTCTTTTTCCCTTTATATTTCTGGCAAAAATAGCAGAAATCTTGCCTTGGAATTTGCAAATGGTATCATAATATCTTCTTGGAAAGAAACCCAAAGTAGTCTAAGTATTATGGAAGAGTACTGATCGTTAAACTCTCTAACCATAAATGTTAATGTTATGCTAGTAGTCATATTGAGCTTACTTAATTTGATGAAGTGATGATGATTGGTGGGATGATGGTGAAAAATAAATAGAAAATTCAAGTATGATGGGAATTCTATCCGTGGGTTGAAAACTTCTGGGTACTTGGGAGTTTCTTTTTCAGGCCAATTTAAGCAAGCAGCTACAACTCACTTGAACAGAAACGCTTCATCTAAACCATGGCATCCAAATAAACAATTTACGATTCCATTGTCACTATTTTGCTGTTGACATCAGTATGGGAACGTAGCTACTCAGATAAATTATAGAGAGGCCAATTCACCTGTCTAAAATAAGTTTTGGCCATTAGAAACACGTCAGTTCATAGACAGCTAAAAAAAATGTTCGAGCGTGTTTTGACAGATGAGGTTGTATTGAATCCACACCTGAGAATCATATCTTTAAACTGTGCTACTTATGACTCAACAAGGGGCGGCTCCAGACATGGGAGCACTGATTTTAATAAAACTTTTTTTTGTAACACTAGGTTGAAAAAATGTTAGACCCATCCTGAGCATTCTTGCCAACAGACTCTAGGAATAGGAAAAAAAATTAATTTTTTTATTATTATTTTACAATTAATTGGTCAAGCGGACCACGAAATTAGTGAATTTAATAAATTAAAATGAAGTATACTTCACTAAAGCTCTCCGTGGCCATTTCATTTGTCGTCGAGAATCCAATCTGATTACACGACATTTGAAAAATGGCAAAAAGGAGGGAAAACTCAACAGGTGGGGTTGAGGTAGGAAGTTGATGTCCGAGTGGATCGAGGTCACGATAGCTCAAGTGGTAGAGCAGCGGCGTATCAAGCCGAAGATTGTGGGTTCGAATCCCGCTCGTGCCATTGACTTTTTATCTCAACTAAAAACCTTAATTTATTGTAATGTGACCAATTAATTGGTCAAGCGGACCACGGAATTAGTGATTTTATTATTATTGTTTTATGCAGATTTCTGGTGTGCAGATATTTCAATGTGATTAAACACTGAAAGGCACAAAACAAAATAATCATATTTTTGTTATTTTCGAACTATATGGATGAATTTGTATTGTTATATTAATTACAGCATACTTATTTTAATGCAAACCAAATTAAATGAGATCAGAAAAACATGAGTTTTAATAAAAATACATTTAATTATGATAGTGTAAGCGAACGACGGCGCGGCGTCCGAATGATCTCTCAATATTCGCTTGCTTTTCTCTAAGCGACAAGAGAGGAGTCGGCATAAACGCGTCGTTACTTATTCTTGTGTAGGGGATGGTAAGGTTCTAGAATTCAATAAACCAGAGAGTTCCTTAACATTTATTGTAGCATAATTCCGTCTTAACTGTACTCAAACAACAGAATCTTAATCAATCTAAAAGTCAGCCACAACTCTAAATCTTGAATGAGTCTATTAACAAAGGGACTTATGCGAAACGACGCTCGCCACGATTAGTGTCCACAGCATCTTTTCTCTCGACCGTCGATTTGGCTCAATGGGTCGCAATGGCCAGTCCTCGGTGGCTTTGGCTGGCTGAGTTCCCTTGTTGAGTCCCAGACGGAGTGCAGTTGCTTCTGTTCCGTATCATCTCTGGGAGTTGACTGTTCATTCCCTGAGGGTGAGTCTCCGGTTTTGACTGACTTTTGATTTCCCACCGCACATGGTTGACGCAACCCCAATTTACGATGTCCCACGTCGCAACATATTTTTGACTGTGTGACAACCCTCCAGCACTAAATAACTAGACGACAGTTATTTATTTGATCTGTTGTTCAACGATTGCAACGTCATGTTCTCCAGGTTCGTGGGAAACATGATGTGGTTCCAGTCCGGGTCTGCGACACCCTTCGACATTCTTATCTATCTGTCCAACGGTGTAATTATTTCCAAGTTATGTTTGCCAGATTTGAGGGGGATGTTACATCATTCCCATCTGGGTGATCGTCCCTTCAGATTTACAACCTTTGTTCCCTATCATCGTTTACCCTAATTTTTTCTTACTTTAACAACTAAAACGTATCCCTAAGACGGGGACTGGCTTACAATAGCTTGGAAGAAAATACACAAAATTACAGGAAAATTTTACTAACAATTTATTAGGAGTAGTAATTAATATAACAATAGAAATACATATATTTTGAAATAAACAACAAAATATGAGCGTCTTTGTCAGTGCACTATTAATAGCTTAATTAAAATGATTTTTAGTTTTGTTAATGTTGGTAATATCGATTTTTCTTTCTTTTTCAGCTATCATAGACCCAGCTAGAGATTTAGCAACCTTAGACGAAGAGCTTTATATGACATATCGCAGTGAGGAAGATGATGTTATCACATATGGATTCCCCCAGAGATATCCGAGTCAAAGTGATGTTTCAACAAATTTGTGTGATATAGAAGATTCTGATGTGCCAACGTAGCATACACTTAATGTATATTTATTTTGGTTCTGCAAATTTGTTTTGTAAAACAAATTGTGTTTCGGTTAACGTTGATGCTTTACGACCACAAGGTAACTAGGTTTTTTGTTAAATAATAATTGTGTCTATTGCCTATGTGAAAAATTAATGTTGTGTATTCCAAAAGCAATGACCAAAATGAATTTAAGTATTTTTACATTCCATTTTTTAACCTCTTTTATTCTATAATTATTATTGAATGTGCACAAAATGGATACAAGGTAAATTTTAATGCCTTAAAATTGTTTAGCCTAAATGTTACTGTAATTAAATAAAAATTTTAAAAAAAATTATAGATTTTTATACTTTTATACAAAAAGTACAACAGTTCGTAAATAAATCTTCTAGACTTTAAAGATTAAAAAAAAACAATAATGGTTATGTAACAGTTTGTATGTGTATGTGTACATTCTTTCTTTCCTGTGTATAAGAAAATACTTTATTTTACATACCAAGCTGTAAAATAATGTTAATCATGGGTAAAATATTACGGAATACACAATGAGTGTTGACTTAGAACATAGAAAAAAATATATTAGTCGGTTGAACTATTTTATATTAAATAATTATACAGTCATAGGATAATGAGAGGATGTTTATTCTTTATATGAGTATTTTTTTAATACATAAAAAATATACTATTATATTTGAATTAATACAATTTTATTTTATCTTTTTTGTAGATCATGTTTATAATATTTTGATTTAAGGTAAGCTTTAAAGTTTGAATCTTTTAATGTGCTACTGTCAAAAGTAAAATTTAAACAAAAACACTAAGCTAAGGCATTTTGCTAGTGAAACAAAATCCTAGCAGAATGTTTAAAAAACTGACTGATGAAGTAATTGTGACATTATGTGTTATAAATTAGAGAATGATTTTGGTTAAAGTATAAGACAATTAAAAGAATGTTTAATTTTATAAAACTTTCATAATATTTGTACAAAATGTAAGTGCCAAATTTTGTTGATTATAATTGTTGCTTTGAAATATATTTGGTCAGGTTATCAAACTCAGCTGGCATGCTGAATGTATTAATGGGTAACAATTTTAGAATTTGTTAATGTATTTTTTTATTAATCATTGGCACTTAGATGTTCATAAAATGGGGCACATTCCATTTTGCCATTTGTTTAATGTATTAACCAAAAATACTAGATTTGTGCTAAAACTTTTGTAATTTGTTTTTCAAAACCTAGAATAATTTGTCATTATTAGTTATTCTATATAATGTGGTTCATTTCAAAAGACTTGTTTAGTATATGTGTATGAATTAGCGCAGTTTTAAACAATTAACTATTGTTACTTTTCATATGCATTTCTGTGATATTAGACTAGCGAGTGATCCTGTCCACTCAGCGAGATATCAAATTTAAAATGAATTTTTCAGTAGAAAATGTAAATAACTTGTACAAATTGAAAAGTACAGTGTAGTTATTTTTTTAAGATTGAAAAAATGTACACAATTTTTTTATAAATACAGTTTTTATTTTAGGAAAAGTTTTTATTTTAGACAAAATAACATATTTCCTCTGCCCTATATAAGTCTATTTTGGAATCCTTGTGTGTGCTTTTGCTCGTAAAACGTAAACCAATTAATAATACTTCTTTCAAATTGATCTCAAATAAAATTACAAGGTCCAGTTATTTGAATCGAGAATTGTTAGCCTGGCTTATACGACCCTGACACCCCAACCACTCAGCCACTGCATATCTCATGGGAGGGAATACCATAACTAGTGTAAAAGTAGAGTGTTCGCGCCAAAAATCGCGAATTATAATTGTTTATTTTGTTTCCGAAATGCTCCTAATCTAGAATTTATCCTAGCTCTGTTCCCTCCCCACAATCCTGTCCTGTTGCTGCCTAGTCCTGCTCTAGTCCTGTTTGCTTCCATACAGTCCACTATTAATTAACCTCCAAGAGTGATTTTCTTTCAGTTTTTCTCTTATTTTCAAGAAGCATTTTTTTTCGTTTTGTTAATTATCGCGTTCAAAATAATGCGAGTGTCTCCTCCCGCATCCTTAATGCGACACATCATACAGGGTTCGGACAAAGCCCCAAAGGTAATTAATAGACTAGGATTCTGTTTTACCTTTGGCCAGAGTTATTGCAGGTTCTAGCTATTAAACGGCTCTCCTCCCTGGTTGTCGAGAAAATCAAGCCACAGTTAACAAGTTAGTATTTTTATTTTATTTTGTATTTTATTTTATTTTGTATTTTTATTTTATTTAATTTTATTTTTATTGCGACCGACCAGCGCGTGCACAGTAGAGCAACAGAATAAATCAAGAAATGTATATAATGCATGGCTTATAAAAGTCAGATTTCCTAACCACTTTGCCCCCACGGTCCCATAACTGAGCTGGTATGTATTTATTTACATGTTACATATTGCAAGTGTTATGTATACTAATAGAGTTGCACACCATATCCAGATTAAAAGTAGAACAACATAATAAATCAAAAAACCTATACACAAACTGAAGGAATGAAATGTATGTCTTGAACTTTGTTCACTTATTTTGATGAAGTGCATTCCTCAGCGCCTCTTAGGTATGGTTCACACCAGAGCGATAAGATACACAATGCTCAGGCCCATAAAAAACTTGAAGGAATTATGAAATTAGTTCATGCCTGTATGATTACATGTGTCGTAAGATACGTGTATCTAGAGCATGGCCTGCTTGTATACGCCATCAGTTTTGTGCGATATTGCAAAGATGGCAAATTCAACGAGTAAGGACGCTTTGTGATTGGCTGGCTGCCTGCCTGTCTTATCGCTTCGGTATGAACCTCACTTATCTTAGGATAAAAATAGTGTATGTAATGTGTCTTCGATATATCTTACCATTCAGGTGTCAACCCGGCCTTACACTTCTTTTGGTTTGAGAATTGACTTACCTTAATTATTAATTATACCTTACTATTTATTAATGGCTTAGCTTAATGGTGGTTTTGCTCAGCACTTGAGATTTTATTTCTCTAGCCATTTTTCCAGCGCCCAGTGCGCCTAGTTGTGGTTCTGGTCCTATGGGTGAGGAGGGTTGCCCCTTCTTTGATTATTTTGTCAGCCTGTTTACTTCCTTGTCTTGGAACCCATCTTAATTAAGTTAGCCTTGTTATAAATACTCAATTAATTATACACAATTTTTTTCGAAATGAAAAATTTGTATCACAGGCGGGATTCGAACCCATGACCTTCGGCTCAATACGCCGCTGCTCTACCACTTGAGCTACTGTGACTTCGATCGCCCATGCCACAAACTTCTCATTTCGACTACCCGATTTTATTCTAATTGTAAGCAAATCGCGGCTTCATATAGAAACACTTTTTTATTAACGATTGTACTAGATTAGCGGGACTGTTAATTGTAAGCAAACAGTCCCGCTAATCTAAACATCTACACAACATTGGTATATACAATGATGATCCCATTTGCAGATTATGTAATGAGGAGGAGGAAACAGCCACTCATATCATCTTCGAATGCGAAGTAACAGCTCAATGAAGGTTTAACCTAATGAACGAAAAAGACTCAGGGAACCGAATTGCAGCAATAACAGTCAATGAACTGATACTTCTGAGAAGAAGGATTGAGTCTATTGACTAAACTAGGGAACTGGGAAGGTACAATAAGCCAGAAGGCTGCAGTGCCTGGGGAATACAAGCCCATACCATACCATACCATACCCGCTAATCTAGTACAATCGTTAATAAAAAGGTGTTTCTATATGAAGCCGCGATTTGTTTACAATTAGAATAAAATTGGGTAGTCGAAATGAGAAGTTTGTGGCATGGGCGATCGAAGTCACGGTAGCTCAAGTGGTAGAGCAGCGGCGTATTGAGTGAAAAATTCGTGGGTTCGAATCCCGCCTGTGACACAAATTTTTCATTTTAAAAAAATTGTGTATAATTAATTGAGTATTTATATATTTAATAGAAGCTGATAAAATTTAGTATTAACCTTGTTATGTTTTCCTAATTAGGCAATTTAGGCATTCCCAGACTAGTTTGCAGCTAAACTATGTCCATTTAGTCCTTTTATAATTGTCTATCTGTCTGAAAGCACATAAATGTAGGTTGCATATTTTCTAAGCTTCACAGAAAAACATTGAACCTTGGATATTTACTAACCTAATCTAACTTGTCCCTAACCTTAACATAATGCATGGCTAACTGTCTAACCTAATCTCACTCTAAGCCTAAGGAGAAACATTCATACTGATCATTAAAGAAAGGTTTAAAACACTACAATACAAAAGTTTTGAGAGGGAAAATCTTATATAGTTCACTAATTTCGTGGTCCGCTTGACCAATTAATACATTACAATTAATTAAGGTTTTTAGTTGAGATCAAAAAAGTTAATGGCACGAGCGGGATTCGAACCCACGATCTTCGGCTAGATACGCCGCTGCTCTACCACTTGAGCTATTGTGACCTCGATCCACTCGGACATCAACTTCCCATCTCAACCCCACCTTATGAGTTTTCCCTCCTTTTTGCCATTTTTCAATTCAGATCGAGGTCATGATAGCTCAAGTGGTAGAGCAGCGGCGTATCTAGCCGAAGATCGTGGGTTCGAATCCCGCTCGTGCCATTAACTTTTTTCATCTTAACTAAAAACCTTAATTAATTGTAATCTTATATAGTGACATTCACCTTTCAAAGATGCTTTGGAGTAACACATGTATAATTAACTCAATATTTTACATTAATTGTTCTTTCTTTTCATTCATGTTCTTTCCTCAGTTCAAATGGTACTTGTTGGTCTAAAAATATTGCTAGTTTAGATGTACATATACATTCAGGGGGATTTTGCAAACTGTGCCCCTTCTGTTTTGTACTTAGCTCACGTATGAGTCCTAATTCATCAATGAATTTGATTATTAAGCCTGATATTGATGATTATTTTTTCTTCGTTGGAAGTCCCAAAGAATTTCTCACGAGAGAAGTCAGAAGG